GACAGACAACTCCGCCCTCGCAGGTAGCTCGGTCTTTTAAGAGGGGGAGTGTGTTACATCTTCAACGCCACACGGGTCCTACCGGACCCGACTTAGGGCTAGAGGGACACAGTGGGGCCTAAAGGCCCGGACTTGGGGTACAGCAGGTCGTAAAGGCCTCAGTGTTGGACCAGACCCGACGGGCAGGCCCAAACGGTATTATCGTTTGGGCCTGGCGGCGCTTTTGAGGCTGCCGCCCGCCGGTCTGATCTGAACCGTCGATCTTGACGGTTCAGGTCACGGCCAGGCCTCGCAGCATTGAGGCCGGCCTCGTTTCACCGGTACAAAAGACCGGTCCAGCCTCACTTTGAGGCATTGAGCCACTGGCATGCTGCATCAGCGCCAGTGCGTATCAGTTGAGGCAGCAGCGCTATTCTTAGCGCAAGAGCGAAGCAGCAGCAGCAGCGCGACCTAGCGCAGCAGCAGCGGCGAGCAAGGAGCCAGGCAGCATCCACCAGCAGCGCGGCGGCCATAGCCGCCTTCGACCTGCAGTCGGACACCGCCTCAGCCAGGTACCAGGAGGCGGCGAGGGGTTCTTCTCCTCCCTCCACGGCCCCAGGCTCTCTCCTCCTCACCTCCTCCTCCTCCTCTGCCATCTCTTCTTCTTCTTCTTCTTCTTCTTCAGACTTCATCTCTTCTTCTTCTTCTTCAGACTTCATCTTCTTCTCCTTCAGACTGGAGACTTGATACTAGTTGGACAGAGATCAGTGTTGGACTTCGGTGGTAGGAGGCTGTGGTACTTACCGGATTCGAGACTTTGTTGGGGATGATACTTGGCTGCATAACAGATTTGACACCGGTTACATTAGGACTCTGTATCTCCGACATTGGTGACTTATTGTCCACGACATTTGATCTTGTTCGATGACATCTTGGATTAGGACTCTGTATCTCCGACATTGGTGACTTATTGTCCACGACATTTGATCTTGTTCGATGACATCTTGGATTACCATATCGGTGACCTACTGGATTCTATCTCAGGTGACATCTGGCGCTACCTACATCTCCCACCTCTTTCGTCTCTCCTCCCACCTCTCATCTGTGTATGTTTGTACGGGGCCTGAGCATCGTCTGTGCTTGGCTCGAACCCCACCATCTAACGCTGGTTTGTGTGTGGAGTGATATCTGTGTGAATCAGTCTATGTGAGTCAGTCCATTATCCGACTTCCGCTGCATACATGCTCATCCTATATTGGTTGATCTTTGGTTCTGCCCCATACTCGTTGAAGTATTCACTAGTATGCAACAGTTTTGGTATCGGAGCAGACCAAACGATGGATCTGCTCACCAGGTAAGTCTGATTTAGGAACGGATTGCCCCTTCGATCTTCCAAATCAGCTCTGTATTACTATCGAGATTCAAAGTTGCAAATTTGTTTTTTCTTTTTTTCGGTTTTCTGTTTAATTCGGCATTTCCGTTTCAATCCGGTATTCGGACTTGCAATTCGGATTTCTGTTTTATTCCGGTATGCTGTTTAATTTGGGTTCCGATTAATTGGTATTAATCCGATATTCTGTTTGATTCGGATTTCTGATTCTAAAACGTTATTAGGGTTAAATCAGTATTCTGTTAATTCGCCATTCTGATTTCAATTCGGCATTCCGTTTTTTAATTTCGGCATTCTGTTTTAAATCCTGTATTTCGTTTTTTTTTTTGGTATTTCCGTTTTATTTCAGTATTAGAAATTAGGGTTACGATAAATTTCGGATTTTGTTCAAATTGGGAAATTCGAATGATTTTGGAACCGTAAAACCGGAAATTCCACGGAATCGCGGAAAATTAGGGTTGGGCTCCGAAATTTTCGCGAATTATTTTTTTCTTTCCCTAGTTTGAAAAATTCCAGAAAACGGACTTAGGCCTTTAAAAATCGGATTTTGTAGGTCGAAATTCCCAAAATTTTACGTTTTTCGAAATTCGAGTGTTTTTCTTCCTGATTTTTCCGAATTTTTTTTTTTTGGCAAACTGTTCGGAATCGTTCCCTCGGAATTGCAACTTCCGGGTAGTTCACTCATTAACGGTGAACTCCCGGACCATAGGAGATCTCAACGGATACCTAATCTTGCCCCAATTTAAAATTCGGTAATTATCGTTATTGCATTATTGTTTTTTTTATTATTAAGAATTATTAATTCGTTATTATTACTTATTAATCATTTAATTATTGATTATTAACTCATTATTATTTCTTATTTCGAATTTTAAGTTGTGTTGGGAAAGTTTATCTTTTTCCTATTTGATTAGGTGTCTAAGTCCATCATTGGGAGAGGGACTGTGTGCGAATTGATTGATTGTTTTACCCGTGTTCCCACTCTCCCTACCCTCCCCGTAATCTGTGACCACCGGAACTTCTAAAGTACCACATCAGCTTGTGCTGATGTCGACGGAACAGGACACCGGGGCACTGCCACGACGCAGTGCCAGGCTCGCAGTTCGTAGCCGTTCTGTGCTACCTCCACGGCCTAAGTATCAGCAACAGCGACTCAGCAGGCGGACGACTCCAGCGGCATCAAGTACAGCTATGGCAGTACCAGTCACCACCGGGGCTCTTCCCGCATGTCCGGTCCAAGGGGCCAGTGAGCCGTTGTCAGCTTAATTTCAGCGGCTACAGGCATTTACGGATGCCGTAGCTACCGAAAAGGCACAGCAGGAGGCAGCAGAGGCGGGACGTCAGCGGCTGGCCAGTGAGGCGGCAGCCCAAACTCAGCGGACTGCTGAGGCTGACGCCGTGGCTCGAGATAAGCAGAACGCCATCAGCATGGAGTTCTTGACTCAGAACGAGAGTCACTGGACGACACTGCTCCAAGGCATGCTTTTTGTGCCTTCGGATACACAGGCGGATCCGACACCGGCGGAGGAAGAAAGGAGTCACCTGGCAGACCTGATGCTGTGATGCGGGCGGTAATGTGGACCAATACGATGTTAACGGTGCAGATACACGAGGGCAGACAGCTGCAACAGACTCAGCAGAAAGATGCTGCAGCCTTAACAGCCGCTGTTCGCACTGCCGCCACACATCAGCAACAACAGCAACAGCTGTTGAGCACCACCACTGCACGCGTCAACAACATCGAGGCTAAGGCCTCAGCAGCGCCAGGCTGCACGACTGACACGGCGAAACAGCTCAACGAGCGCATCGACCATGTCGTCAGTCTAATCGGCGAACTAGAGGATTTCACCAGTCCGGCTACGATCAGCAGCACAGTGGCCACCATCAAGACGGACATCACCAAGCTGCAGTCGCAACCGGCAGCAGCTGCGAAGGTATACAAGATGCCACGCTTCAACATCGGCAAGTTCGAGGACTACAACAAGACAGACGCTTTGACAGGGTGGCAAGCCTTCCTCACTGAAGCGTCCTGCCACAAGGTCCCAGCCGAAGACATGATGAAGGCAATATACCTCCAACTCTTCGGAGGTGCGCAGGCGTGGATGAACCACCTCGCAGTTAACAAGAAAACCACTATCGCCGAGCTACACAAACACCTCACGTGGGAGGATTTTGAACAGCTGTGGTTCACCCGATTCATGGTCCGCAACGTTGTAAAGGCGGCCATGAACGAGGTCTACACTTGTTCACAGGGAAGTATGCCAACTCGAGACTGGACGATTAAGTGGCAAAAGATAGTGACCACGCCAGGCTTCGATTTGAGTTTTACAAACCAACGATCCGAGTTCTTCTCACGTTCGTGTGCAGGACTGCGAACCGCACTCGGCAACGAGTACGATTATGCCTCATTCCAGGCTATTCTGGATCGTGCGAACCTGGTCATCCAAACGGGCGACAAGGCCGCCAACGAAAAGCAGTCCCAGCAGCACTATGTGGCTAAGCAGGGCTACCAACGACCGGCACATAATAATGTCGTGATTTCTGAAGAAACAGTTGATCTCCACGCTGCAGCAGCATCCTCGAGTGATGGAGGAATTGTCGCAGCGCTCCCGTCGAAGCGTCCCAAGAGAGTTCGGAAGAACAAGGCGACACAAGCGACGACATCGACGGGAACTGGGCAGCAGCCATGGACGGCATACAAGATAACCAAGGAAGTATATGACCTTCGTCAACGGTACGGATATTGCCTTTGGTGCAATGGTGTCACTCACTTGACCGCACAATGCCCCGAAAAGGGCAAGGCACGCGTATCCCCTCCAGCTAACTCGGGAAACTGAGTTAGGCAAGGAGAGGGGCGACGTCTCTCCTCACTCCGCCGGACCCGGTTGCCTTGCTAGCAATCGATGTCACTACCGGGGAGCATGCGTTAGTCGCTGATTCTCGTGCTACGTACGAGGATTATGCCGCCCTGCTGGTCCCACCATTAGACCAGCCGAGCCACGTGCACTTAGATTGCGTATGCGCAGCCTGTACACCATCGGCAAGTGATCCGGTCAGCTCGCCACTAATTTCCGAGGACTCGACGGCATGGTCAAGACTTGAGGAGCTTGACCCGCTCACGAGAGAGGACTTCGCTTGGATGCCTCTACCCTCGACCAGAACCTTGCCAAGGCTGCATTGCAACGCCTTGATGGCAAATCTACGCTCCTATTTGCACACTACAGTACCAGCTCCGTTGACGGATGATGGGGTAGCGGTTGTCGATCTCCGCTCCTATCCTGCGAAGATTAGTACGCCACCCAAAGGTACGCCGAAACCGATGCGCCTTTGCTCTATATCCGCATTCAAATCGAAAAGGCAACCTGTAGTGCCTTGATTGATTGCAGAGCGTCTCGCAACTTTATGAGCCAAGCCTTTATGGCCCGCTCAAGCCTTGGCCCGCGCGTTCGAAGGAAGACACAACCCATGCAAGTTACACTCGCGGACGACCGCAAGCAAAAGTTTATTGACCGATGCATCGACGGCGTTCCGGTATATTTTGCACCACTTGATTGCGAGCCGGTGTCTTTTGACATCCTCGACACCAAGTTCGACATGATTCTAGGCATGTCTTGGTTGCGTAGCGCCGATCATCCGGTAAACTTCCATGACCGGACCATTCACATCCATGATCGGAACGGAGTGCTAGTCCCATGTACGGTCGCGACCCCTCACACTTCAATTGCTTGTCACGTGGTTTCCGTTGCGAGAATTCGCGACGCCATAGCTCGAAATGACGTCGAGGAGATGGGCCTTGTATTCTTGCATGCTCTCCCCTCGCCGGACGGACCAGCGCGTCACCGCCGGACCCACGTATTTCTCACCTCTTGGACGAGTATAGAGACGTCTTTGAGGCTCTCACCGGAACGGTTCCGGATCGGCCCATACGTCACGGGATCACTCTCGAGGCTGGCGTCGTCCCTCCGCGTGGATGCATTTACCGCATGAGCAAAGAGGAACTCTAGGTGCTTCGTGCACAACTCGACGACCTCCTTGACAAGGGCTGGATTCGCCCTAGTTGTTCGCCTTACAGTGCCCCTGTTCTCTTCGTCCGGAAGAAGAACAAAGATCTACGGTTATGCATCGACTATCGCAAACTTAACGCACAAACCGTAAAGAACGTCGGCCCTCTCCCTCGGATTGATGATCTCCTTGACCGGTTAGGCGGCGCGACGTACTTCTCGAAGTTGGGCTTGAAGTCGGGTTACCACCAGATTGAGATCCAGCCTCAAGATCGGTACAAAACCGCGTTCAAGACGCGGTACGGGCATTTTGAGTGGGTTGTCATGCCATTTGGCCTCACCAATGCCCCCGCGACTTTCCAAGCAGCTATGACGACTGAGTTTCACGACTTGCTCGATCGCAGCGTCCTCATCTACCTCGATGACATCTTGGTTTATAGTAGGACGTTGGACAAGCACATCGTACACCTTCGCGCTGTTTTGGATCGTTTGCGACTGGCCAAGTACAAAGCGAACCTCGACAAGTGCGAGTTCGCCAAGCAGGAGCTTGAGTACTTTGGCCACTATGTCACGCCGAAAGGCATTCGTCCCTTAGCGGACAAGATCCAAGCCATCGTGGATTGGCCGGAACCCCGTTGCACGACGGATGTATGCTCTTTCATGGGTTTGGCTGGTTATTACCAGCGCTTCGTCAAGTCATACTCGAAAGTGGCCGCTCCCTTTGTTGAGACTTCAGTCCGCAAAGGTGCACTTCGAGTTCGACGACGCAGCCCGTGGCGCGTTCACTACGTTGAAGGCAGCGATGCAAGCCGCACCTGCCCTCCGTATATACGACCCCACCCTTCCCACCCAAGTGACTACGGACGCTTCGGGATACAGCATTGGTGCGGTGTTGGAACAGTGTCACGAGGACGGTTGGCACCCGGTCGAGTACTTCTCCCGAAAGGTGCCTCTCGTCAACACTCTCGACGACGCTAGGAAGAAAGAGCTACTCGCGTTCGTCACCGTTCTCAAACGGTGGCGCCACTTTCTTCTCCGCCGTCGGCATTTTAAATGGAATACAGACAACAATTCGTTGACCTTTTATAAAACGCAGGATACAGTCACTAGCACGATCGGTCGATGGATGTATTACATCAACGGTGAGCTCTTGAATGTCATCAGCAGAGTAGCCTGGTCGTCGGTGATTCAACCCAAGACTAAAGGGGGTCTGGGGATCCTGGACCTGGACACCCAGATTGCAGCACTAACTATCCAATAGGTCAAGAGATTGTTGTTTATTGAGCATCTCCCATGGCGCGCCCTGGCGCTGGAACAGATAGCCAGACTCGCCCCACAGGCACCACAAAGACTCGGCCCATTGACCTGGCTAGAAGACCGTTTTTGGACTGTGCCAAGGCCTCCCCGTGTACAGCGAGATTCACCCCGAGACGCAGCCCGTTCGGATCTGATCAGAGATGACTTCTGGACCCGAGTCATGAAGGTCTCGCGCCAACTCCCCTTGCCCGACCAACCACCACCAACTAGGTGGGAGGAAGTGATGCGCCAGCCTCTGTTCGGGAACAGGAGAATAACGGACCGGCATAGCAAAGTGTACCGCAGCTCAGACACCCCGTGGAACAGCTGGGTAAAAAATGGCATAATCCGAATAAAAGACATATGGGACAAGGAAGCGGGCGACTGAAAATTTGGAGCACAACTGAGAACTACACTAAAACACTGTCACAGGATCGAGGAGAACGTGGATCTGTTGACCGCTGCAGTCCCGCTCGACTGGGTGCGCATTCTGCGCAGAGGACCGTGGCTGAAGGAAGGAGACAGGGTAGCTGCCCCAGGGGACCCGGAAAGCGTAGGCAATGTGGTGGAGGTGAGGGCTGACAAAACGCTGATAGACGTGTTCCACATTGGCAAGGAGAATACACTCACCCGGTACCGCCCAGAGGTGGAGAAATGGTGGAAAACAGCAGACTTGCATAGGATACGGGTGCTGCGGGATAAAGACGTCTGGATCGCATACCAGCCAAGCACTCCCCTGATGGAGCTACCTTTGGACCCTGACGAGTGGCAGTGGGCCCCGCAGCGAAAACGTAAGACAGGGGAGAATCTAAAACTACACACCCTATCAGTGAAGGCCACATACCGTCTGCTTCGACCGAAAGTGAATATAAGAGACACAGTGAAGGCCCGATGGAGGTCGCATTTGAAGGTGGGAAATGAGGCAATCCGCCCGGTTGGATGGTTCTCTGCCACAAGATCCAAACTTGCGAAGATGGCTTCTCTTCAATGGCAGATAGAACACCGTTGCCTACCAACCAATGACTAGTTGATCGACCGCACATACCTGGAGCAAAGGGGGCAGGCATTACCATGGTGCAAGTCGTGCCACTCTGCCTTTCCCCCCCGCAGAATTCCGGAAACTATAGAGCACATATTTATGCAGTGCCCAGGGGCGGTGCTTACTTGGCGATGGTGGGATAGGATCTGGACTCGGCTGGTCACCGACTCTCATTGGCCATGGGACTGGCGGGCCATATTATGCGAAGCATGGTCCTCCCCCACTGATAACACCTTCGAAAATAACATGTTCAAATTAGGAAGAAGAGCAGTTATGTGGGCCCTCTGGAGAAAACGCTGCATACAAGCTATAGAGGGAGTCTGCATAGAGGGGGAAGAGTTAACAGACATGATAAGGCAATACATTAAACAAGAGATCACGATAAAGTGGCAAAAAGTGAAAACCCAACTCGATGTATATCACACACTAAAGGACATCACACAAACAATTCACCACTTTTCTGAGGATTGGTTGGGCGGGGAGAACAGGGGCTGGATCGCAGCAGTCCAATGGGAGGGTAAACCCCCCCCGGAGAATGACCAGGAGCAATTCAAAAGGGACTACCGCATCTGCTTCCGAGACTGGACTACGGTGGGCCAGGAGATCCCGCTGCGGCCCGCCACAGATTTCCCCGACCCTTTCCCGCCCCATAAGCTGGCGATGGTGGAGATGCAATGGTATGGAGCAGATTGAATGGGCAGCTGCCGTCAGCCAGACCGGAGCTCAGTATTGGAAGATCATCGTTGCCTGGGTCATCTGTGGGCAGCCTGTACGAAACGCTGGACCAACGGAATGGAGTAATCTGAATGGGTAGTCTCAGCTGGGCCAGCAATGCAGGCGGCTCCCTTTAGCATCTTTGGTTTCTGTTTTGGGGTATGGGACGCTTTCTGTTTTGGGGTATGGGACGCTGGACCCGCTTTCCAGCCGGTGGGAAAATTTTCAGATTATATTAGGGATGCTGGGCTGGAAGGCTGGGCCCGGGTCTCAGCATGGGTGGCAGAGGGAGGGAGGAACTAGGGTGGAGCTGAGTATCTGACGCCGAACGCAAGGTGAAGAGGTTCCCCCCTCCTACTGAAGTCCTGCTCGGTTAATCCCCTGGTCCCCAGGGCAATCAATGCTGGCAGGAGCACACCACATTTTGAAATCTGTATAAGGGACGCTGGACCCGCTTTCCAGCAGGTGACGCTCCCCACCAATAGATGGAGCCTCCCCCCAGGTGCTAGCGGTGTCTGCTCCTATCAGCACCGCTAGCACTAGCGGGGGTGTTTATCAAAAAAAAAAAAAAAAAAAAAAAAAAAATCGACCAGTTCGACTTTGACCCGTGCCACATTCCCGGTCCCGCCAATCGAGCTCCGGATGCCCTCTCACGACGGCCCGATTTTTGTGCCATTGTGACCACGGCATTCGACCTCGATGACTATCTGCAGCCGCATTTCGTCAAAGGCTACAAGTCCGATCCGACTTACTCTATGCTTTACGCGGAGCTTTCATCGGATCACCCRCCGGCTAGCCATTATCGGATTTCCGACCGGTTCCTCCTCCTTCACACGAGAGGAAAGGACTTGTTAGTGGTGCCCCAAGATCGCATCTTACGGACTCGTCTTCTCGGCGAATTCCACGACGCACGACTTTCGGCACACCTTGGCGTAAACCGCACATTAGCACGCCTCCGCCAGCGTTTTCACTGGCCTGACGTCCTTCATGACGTCACGAGGTACATTGAGTCATGTGCAATTTGCCACCGTAACAAGGGTCGATCTCGAGTCCCCTTCGGCGAACTGAAACCGTTGCCGATTCCTCGGGCACCATGCCTCTCCATTGCTATGGACGTGACAGGCCCGTTCCTCCGCGATCGCCTCGGCCATGACGGTATTCTCACGGTCGTTGACCGTTTGAGTAAGTATGCTCGCTTCCTTCCTTGCAAGTATCATGCTGCATTACCTGAGCTCACACGACTCTTGCACACCGGTTGGATTACCAACCAGGTTGTTCCAGAGATATAATGAGCGACCGAGATACTCGCTTCATGTCGGCCTTTTGGACTTCCCTTATGGCTGAGTCCGGTACAACAATGAAGCCGAGCTCGGCTTGGCACCCGCAGACGGATGGCCAGACGGAGCGAGCACACCAGACCGCTCAGATGATGTTGCTTACGCTCATCCGTCCCGACCAGAAAGATTGGGTTGACCGGCTTCCCGACATTGAGTTCGCCTACAACACTTCGGTGTATCTGACGATCTGCGTCACACCATTCGAGCTACATCATGGTGGAGAGAAAGCACGGATCTTCGCTGATCTCCTTCTGCCACAGGCCGCCGACATAGACTTCCCTTGCTCTCCCGCTTCCGTTCGGAAGTACCGGGACTTGCTGATCAAAGCCCGCGCAAATATGCAAAAGGCTCAGATCCGCATGCAGCAGCAGGCCAACCAACGTCGACTTCCATGTCCTTTCCGCGAGGGACACCTTGTTTGGGTCCTCTCCGAGGAATTTGCGCTCGAGCAGGATGTTTCGCGCAAACTCCTTCCAAAATGGTTCGTACCATGGAAAGTTACTTCTGCCGTTGGAGACGACCCCGCAGGTCCTTCCTTTGTGGTCAACATTCCTCCGCACCTTCCAGTGCACCGGGTCTTCCACTCGTCGAAGCTGGCCATCTACACGCCACCTTCCGCCGACGAGTTTCCCGTCCGTCGATCACAAGATCCGCCATCTATGGACGGACATCAGGAAGTGGACCGAGTCATCACGCACCGCAAGTATGGCAACAAGCCAATGCAGTTCAAAGTCACATTCAAGCACTCGGTGGATCTCTACTGCAGACTTGCAAACTTCTGCACCCCTTATCTTCGCCAGCAATGAGAAGCGACGCCTTGCCAAGGAAGCAGCTCGTCCCGCCCGACCCACCCCGGTATCAGACAGACAACTCCGCCCTCGCAGGTAGCTCGGTCTTTTAAGAGGGGGAGTGTGTTACATCTTCAACG